TCTTGGTTTTTTCTTCCTCTTCCCACACGAAATTCTTCGACTCGGATTCACTCTTCCGACACTCGTCTCCGCTCGTCGCCTCGAAATGCCTCAGGCTCTTGGACACGTCATCCTCCTCCTCCTCCCTAGAGCTCCAATTGGACTTGGCCGAGTTGAATTGGGCCCCACAATGCAGCTTGGCCATATGACTGCCCTTCAGCAGGCTAAGGCCCGGTTTGCTTTGGTCGTCGTTTGGGCCCGTTGGGCCCAATGGGCCTGACCGGTCAGCAGGGGTGTTGTGCCGGACAGGGGATGTGCTCTCGAAAGGGGTTGGGCATCTTGAGGTTGTCGAGCTGGCAAGTGGGGTCATCTCCGTTCCCACGTCTCGGAGCTTTGAAATCGGTTTACGGGACGTGTTCGTAAATACGAATTTTTCTTGCATCGGGCTTGAGTGGCCATCCGAGTCGAACTCATTAGGGAATTTATCTGCATTTGTTATGTACAATTCATTAGGCCTATAAACGAGTCAGAAATCGAGCTCGAGCACGACTCGTTTATCACAATCCTTAACGAATTGATCTCAAGCTTTAACGAGCCGAAATACAGAAAATTATATAGAAATTCTCTTTTCGAGCTTTAACGAGCCCTATCGAGCACCAAACGAGCTTTAAATGAGCTCGAACTCGGCTCGTTAAGACATCGAGGCTTAGTTTAATTTAACAGCACTACAAATCATAAAATATGTTGGGTCTTTAACTTTCTTGAAAAGAGAAATGAAATGAAATGAGAAATTCATTGATGATAGTTTATGCATTATTAGACAATTTCCTTTTTTTTTTCTTGAAAAGGAGGAAACTTTACTATATGAAGAGGTATATTCATTATTCCCTCAGTGAATCATCCATTTTACTCTTCTCAAACTAGGAACAACTTCTCAAAAGTTTATCAATGCCATTTTTATTTTTATTACCAAATTAATAATTGTGACTTTTAAAAAATACAAATAATAGATTTTTGTAAGAATTAATAAATGGT